GATCTTCATATTCGACTTCAATGTGTTTGAGTCTGCGTCAGTCTGTGTGAGTCCGTATGAGTCCCTGCAGTCTGTGTGACTCTGTGATGAGTCTGGTTGCGTCTGTGTGATTCCGTCTGGCTCTGTGTGAGTCTGGGTCAGTCCGTGTGGGTCAGTGTGAGTCTGTGTCAGTCTCTCAGAGTCTGTTTGAGTCTGGGTGAGTCTGGGTGAGTCTGTGTGAGTCTGGGTGATTCTGGGTGAGTCTCTCAGAGTCTGTTTGAGTCCATGTGGGTCAGTGTGAGTCTGTGTCAGTCTCTCAGAGTCTGGGTGAGTCTGGGTGAGTCTGGGTGAGTCTGGGTGAGTCTGGGTGAGTCTGGGTGAGTCTGTGTGAATCTGGGTGAGTCTGGGTGAGTCTGGGTGAATCTGGGTGAGTCTGGGTGAGTCTGTCTGAGTCTGGGTGATTCTGGGTGAGTCAGGGTGAGTCAGTGTGAGTCCGTGTGAGTCCGTGTGAGTCAGTGTGAGTCTGTGTCAGTCTCTCAGAGTTTGTTTGAGTCTGTGTGAGTCTTGGCGAGTCTGTCTGATTCTGGGTGATTCTGGGTGAGTCTCTCAGAGTCTCTTTGAGTCCATGTGGGTCAGTGTGAGTCTGTGTCAATCTCTCTGTGTCTGTTTGAGTTTGTGTGAGTCTGGGTGAGTCTGTCTGAGTCTGGGTGATTCTGGGTGAGTCAGGGTGAGTCAGTGTGAGTCAGTGTGAGTCCGTGTGAGTCCGTGTGAGTCCGTGTGAGTCTGGGTGATTCTGGGTGATTCTGGGTGAGTCAGTGTGAGTCAGTGTGAGTTTGTGTGAATCTGTGTGAGTCAATGTGAGTCTGTGTCAGTCTGGGTGAGTCTGGGTGAGTCCGTGTGAGTCGGTGCTAGTCTGTAGCAGTCTGGGTGAGTCTGTGTCACTCTGTTTCAGTCTATGTGAGTCTGTTGGAGTCTGTTTGAGTCTGTGTGAATCTGTGTGAGTCTGTGTGAATCTGTGTGAATCTGTGTGAGTCAGTGTGAGTCTGTGTGAGTCTGTGTGAGTCAGTGTCAGTCTGTGTTAGTCTGGGTGAGTCCGTGTGAGTCGGTGCTAGTCTGTAGCAGTCTGGGTGAGTCTTTGTCACTCTGTTTCAGTCTATGTGAGTCTGTTGGAGTCTGTTTGAGTTTGTGTGAGTCTGGTTGAGTCTGCGTGAAGTGTGTTGCATTGCTTATGTGAAGGTGATATTCGTGAGTCCATGTGGGTCAGTGTGTTGCATTGCTTCTGTGTGAGTCCGTGTATGTGTGTCAGGAGGGCCATATTATGTGTGTTGTCAGGAGGGCCATATCAAGCGTATTGCATTGCCTCTGTGTCAGTCCGTGTATGTGTGACAGACCTGTGTGAGTCAGGAGGGCCATATCAGGTGTGTTGCATTGCTTCTGTGTGAGTCCGTGTATGTGTGTGTGTGTCTGGGTGAGCCTGGGTAAGTCTGTGTGACTCAGGGTGAGTCTGTGTCAGTCCATGTGGGTTAGTGTGAGTCTGGGTGAGTCGCTGTGAGTCCGTACGAGTCCCTGCAGTCTGTGCGACTCTGTGTGAGTCTGGGTGATTCAGGGTGATTCTGGGTGATTCTGGGTGATTCGGGGTGATTCAGGGTGAGTATGTGTGAGTCTGGGTGAGTCTCTGTCAGTGTGAGTCAGTGTGAGTTAGTGTGAGTCAGTGCGAGTCTGGGTGAGTCTGGGTGAGTGTGGGTGAGTCCGTGTGAGTCGGTGCTAGTCTGTTTGAGTCAGGGTGAGTCTGTGTCACTCTGTTTCAGTCTGTGTAAGTCTGTTGGAGTCTGTTTCAGTCTGTGTGAGTCTGGTTGAGTCTGGGTGAGTCTGTGTGAACCTGTGTGAGTCAGGAGGGCCATATGAAGTGTGTTGCATTGCTTTTGTGATATTGTGTGATTTTCGTGTTATCAKAGAGAGAGAGAGAGAGAGAGAGAGAGAGAGAGACCCTTTGAGGGTGTTGTTGAAAGGCCGAAACGTTCGCCTTTGCCATTCCGTGCCTTCTCTCTCCTCCCCCCTCCC